ATGATTTGGCTGCATTATACTCATAGAAACATCTGCAATAAACCATTCTCATTGGCATCTGAACAATAGCTAATTGAATGGCTGAGCCTTGACTTAAAATATTAATTTCTTCTTTTCTGACCTTATCAAAGCAGATGGAAATAAATTTTCATCCTCCCTTCCCAAGTACAGAGCCCTTCTTTTAGAAGGTCACTCTGTGCTACCTGTTGATTTATGGAGTGTTACTAGTTTAAAAATGGAGAATCTGTAAATATAGTCATAGGTGTGTGACAGACTGACAATATCCTGAAATATCCCCAGCAAACCTTATGGAATTAAAATAAACTTTGTTGAATTAATCTAAACCTTATTGAATTAGGATTAATACCTTTGGGATACATTGTATAAAAAATGCAGTTGTGTATGTGGTGTTGTGGTGTCATATGTATCTTCTCTAGTAGAGAGGGAGGGATGTTAATGAACTTCTTCCATTATCAGCCTTTGAAACCACCACCTGGGGAGATATGCATATACTAGTTCAAAGACCAACAGAGAAAGAGAAGACTTTTGGATAAAAACCTGGTGTCATGGTTTTCTGGGGGTGCAATCCAGACCAGTGAGGGGTTGTGTCACATCTTACTATGTAACTCTGAGTGCCTCACAATGCTTTGCCGCTATGGTTCTCAGCCTGGGATGCTTACAATCAGCAATAAACATACAGATTATGTTTGTCTGTGTGCTTTGCAGCCAGCCCTGATTCAGCAGCTCTGACCCCAGCAGCCTATCTACAGCCCCAGAGTCCAACTCTGGCTTCCATCAGACTTGGTTACGACCAGCAAGGTAACCCCAACACACTCCCAATCCTGAATTTTCCCCAAACTGCATGCTCTGTAATGGCCAGCCTGCTCCTGGACAGTACAGAGAAATAATAAGGTTTGTTTGTTCCTTTAAAGAGGCAAAAGCACATCACAGCTATTAACTGGGCTAAATACACCCTTCCTTGCAAACACAGCATGGAGTTGGTTTATAGTAAAAGAAAACAAATTTATTAACAACAGGACATAGGTTAAGTGATACCATGAAAAAGGAATAAAGCCAGAAAGGGTTACAAGCAAACACAAGTGAAAATATGCATCTAAAACTCAAACGAGAAAGGTACAGACTTTGTTCAAGATGGTTTCTCTCACCAGTCATTCTACTTCCCAGCTCTGCTGACTTTCCCCTAGTCAGGACCTTCCACAAAAGTAAAGATGCTGGCTTTCCTTGTCTTCCGAAGGAAAGATCTTTGCCTAAGCAGGTTTCTCACCTATGTTTAGTCTCTAGAGACTTCAATCTCCCCTTGTCTGAAGGACCCATCTTACTCAGCTTTCAAGAGCTCTGGCCTCTTGTGTCTAATGACGGATTACAAAGATACCATCTGTCTTTGTTATATCTTCCAAAATTCATTGACTTTGTCTCAAGAGACAGGATGACCTCATGCTGTTCTTCCCATCCTCTGGACTTCCCATCCCCTTGCTGATTTCTATGTAAATAGGGCTTCCATTATTTTTGGTTACACCTTGCTTAATCTCATTGGAGACAGGGAGATAGCTGCCTTCTCTCCTGTCTGGGAAGGAACCTGTTTCTTCCTGTTTGGTCACAGACATTAAAAGCATACAGAATCCATGTTTTCTCATATAGTGTTAACACATACTAATAATATATAATATCATTCACAATGATACTATTCACCAGTGTGTCATTAACTTTCAGAAAAGACCTAACTCTATACATTTTGTAATCCAGTAAAAGTGTACACAATCAGTTGGTTCAATTTGTCTATTGCTTGAGGTCCACGCCCCCCACCCCGTCTTTATAGACCATAAACCCTTGTAAAGCATTATTTGAAAAGTAAAACACAGACCATGCTTCTCTCTCCTGCTGGGGCATAGATGCCATGCTGTCTCTTCCACCACTTGCTAGTTCCATATATTAATCTGATATGTGAACATGCCTTCATTACCTCTGCCTGACAACTGGGCTGCTGGTCAGAGAAGCAAACACATTCCTTTGCCTAGGGCAGACCTGTTTACCAACTCCCCTTGACATGCCTGCTTTAAACACACTATACTCATAATTCTAGCATATATCCATAACTCTTAAGACAGACTTTGTATACATTATGCAATAGTATTAGTGATCAGTGAGTTCTTAGGTTTCAGAGTAACAGCCATGTTAGTCTGTATTCGCAAAAAGAAAAGGAGTACTTGTGGCACCTTAGAGACTAACCAATTTATTTGAGCATAAGCTTTCATGAGCTACAGCTCACTTCATCGGATGCATACTGTGGAAACTGCACACTGTGATCACTTTAGATAAGCTATTACCAGCAGGAGAGTGGGGTGGGAGGAGGTATTGTTTCATGGTCTCTGTGTATATAATGTCTTCTGCAGTTTCCACAGTATGCATCCGATGAAGTGAGATGTAGCTCACAAAAGCTTATGCTCAAATAAATTGGTTAGTCTCTAAGGTGCCACAAGTACTCCTTTTCTTTTAGTGAGTTCTTAGTTTCAAATAATATCTCACAAGGTATATTTTATACAAAGGTTATTACAATAGGGTGTAGGGTGCGAATATGGGGTTGCTGAGAGTTACACTTGATATTTAAACTGACTCAGGGACTTCTTCCTGGTCCAGCAAACGGGCAGGATCCCTGGTCTAATCCTTAAGGGGAGGATTGGAAGAATTGGCCTACTGAGACCCCATACAATTTTTCTTTTTCTTTGTGCTTTTTCTGAGATGAAACTCTGATGAACTTGTAACCACAAAGAAATCCCTACTGTGGGGTGATGCCTGGTAAGCTTATTAGCATGCATAACTGCATATAGGCTTTCTTTTACTGTTTATAATACTTTTTTCTGTTATGCTTTTTACCTTAAGAATAAAGTAACCTTGCTTAGAAAGAACTGCGGAGCAATCACTCTGTTATTAGTCTCTGAAGAGAAACAAGTACGTTTGTTTAGACTGACTGACTTTGCTGGGAAATGCACAGTGAAGGCAGGGAACTGTGCAGCCTGGAAATACCCTGGTCAGAAGGGAGAAAGACATGGGTCTCCACCCAGAAAGGCAACAGCTGGGAAGTTGCAAGCTGAGAGTGGGTGACCTTGCTGAACCACTAAGGGGAAATATAGGTGTAGTTGCTCTAAACTGTGATAAAGTGTATGATTTATGGAACAAGATTCTGTCATCTGTCCAGTCACTCTCCCTGACAGTAATACCTCCTCACACATGGGTCTTTTGGAAACAACATTACAGGCCTGATTTTCGAGGCACTTGAAGCCGCACACAAAAGCATACATGCAGTTCCCACAATTGTGCACACAAATCAGACACATGTTGTACAATTTGCACATGTAGTTGTGTAATTTGGGTATTTAAATTCATGTGTATATATACACACACAGTTTTGGATGAAGATCCTGGTGCAGGAGGTTTTGAAAATCAGCCTTTATATTGGGACAGGTGGCATGTGGCTTAGTATGCTAGCCTGTCACTTCTACAAAACAGAGTTATTTGGGTGGTTTGGGTGGCTATGGGAAAGAAAATGGTCTTTGTTTCATTTGGAGATCTCTTTTTACAGTCAATCTCAGCATGGCTTTTACTCCTGGCTCAGCCAAATGGAGGCTTTCTTGTGGCTCACCTGATGGAGCAGTTGCCGGTGCAAGTTTGCTTATATCGATGTGCAAAACTCATGAACAGCATGTTCAGCCACTGGATGGGGAGATTCTGTTAGTAATTACTGAAGTCTGATCCACTGTCTGACTATTTGAACTGCTGAAACCTTCACTTCCTCAGCTTTTGACAGAGAGTGAGAATAAATCAGCATTTTAAAAATGGTAACACATTTTTGTTGCCAAATGAAATGTGATAACTGAATCCCTTGTAAAATAATATTTTTGGAGAAAAAATGAGATCAGGGCCAGATAAAAACAAGTTATTTACAATTCAGATCATGGATTAATATCAGTCCAGTATAGTACTATTAAAAATAAAACATAAAAACAAACCTTTATAATCTATTGCCTTGTTTAAATAGTTCTAGCTAGTTCAGTGATAGTTTTAGCTTCTGTTCCTGGCATATTTCTAGATCTACAGTCCCATTACAGTGGCGCCGCTTAGCACAAATACAGTGATGGTTTTGCCAGTTTTTCTATGATAAACCTTTTTTCCAGGAATTCATACATAATCATAAAAATTCCCTCAGAGTTGAAACTTGGCATGTGAGGAATTCACAAGGATTTTCTTGTGATTTCTTTCTGTGTACAAATGTACAAAAATAAATCAGGCTGGTCATTTAAATGAGAATTATTTCAAAATAATATATTGGTAAAGTTCATAGAATTGTGTTAGATGGAGATGGATAAGACCACAGCCATCTAATATAAGCACACACATTCCCTGCCAATGAGTGATTGTTCTGAAGACGATGGTTTGTTGCTTTTCTATCACAAAGGCTCCAAATTGCATATGTGTGTGTGTGTGTGTGTGTGTGTGTGCGTGTGTTGAGTGGAATCATGAGATTTGGAAAGCAATTAGTAATTTAATAAGGCCAAATTTCTTTTGGTATTCTGAAAAATATACAAATGGCCAAGACATTTTCCTTTGAAAAGCAGGTTCTATATCTATAAAGCTTTAACTGGCTTAAATAACTAATAACTTAAAAATAGATATGACATATTTTAGGCTTATTAAAATTTATTCTGGTATATTGTATGTGTATTTCATATTTATTGAAACCAAGTATTTTTCAGAGCTTTATAATTTGACATCAATAACTATTGCAGTATTGTTTTGAAAGGATGCCCAATACTAATAGGTGCAAACCCCAATCTATTTTGTTTTTCGTAATAGTTTGCATATGCTAGTTTAAATATCAGATGTTTCAGTGAAAAGAAAAATGTGAATCTGAATAACTAGTAACCCTTTAATAACAGACCAGTGGGAAAAAATAATTGAAGGAAGTTATTTTAATGAAACGGAGATTTCCACAATTTTAACAAAGAAAAAGTATAATATTGAGAGTCACCAAGTACAAATAGTCTTACAGGTTATGTTGAACTGACTGTATAGACAGTTAGTCCTTGGGAGGAATGCTTATTTTTAGCTGTGGTACAATTATTTTTTAAAGTTGTGTATTTCACATGTAAAATATGTCAACTGCTTTAGCCTCACTGACTGAATCATTACTTAGGTACAGAGCTACTGCCTACAAGGTATGCATACACAAGGTAAAATAAAAGACCTGTGAGTGCAGCAAAAGCCTAAGACAATAATTGGCTAGGAGTAAGGAGTAAGTTAGAATCTAGCTGCCCAGAATGAAAACTGGGAAGATATGAACCTTCCTGAGGAGTGGAAGAAATTCATGCAGGACATAGAGGTCATTTTCAAGGGTCTCCTGAAGTCCACAGATGATGAGGGGAAAATGCTGTTATCTACCAATCCAGATTGGAGAGAAAAGAAAGAGGCATTAATAATATTTGGTAAAGTATTTCAGCAGAAGAGAAAGAAGACTCAAGTGCATACTACAATTAATTTGTTGAATATGTCACCCAAAAATTGACCCAGCGGTCACACAATATTAATTTGATAAGAAGGTCCAAGTGAACGCACAAACCACTTTTGATAAAATTAAAGATGCTGGATAAGAATTATGCATTTACTAACATGATGAAATGATTAGAGTTTAGTACAAATTCATTACAAGTCTGTAAGTAGCTGATAATCACAGAGCTGAGCTCGATTTAAATAAAGCATTCGACTTTGCTCAAACACACAAACTGGCATACACCCAGCTAGAATCTATGGCCAGTGTTTTTACATTTGGGTACCTAATTTAGACTGCTAAGTCCATATCTTATTTCAAAGGTTCTGAGCACCCATGGCTTCCACCAGAGTCATAAAAAACCTACTCAACTGATTTTTTTTCAAGCCTGCCTCATCCCTTAGAACTCAATTAAACTTACAGAGCAAGCTATGTTTAATGTTTCTACAGTCAGCTTTTGAGCTTATGCAAGGGCACCATTTCTGACTGGAACAGTGTGTGGTCAGTAGGAACCGTGATACCTTTGAAACTAGGACCTAAATATAAATTCAGAGGCGTAACTGTAGTTTGAACATTTTGGCCAATGTCTAAAAGGAAGCAGTATACGGAGTTGCAAAACCTCACCAACCTGACAGCCAACCACAAAACAGAAAATATTTGATGCACAAAGAAGACTACAAACCTGTAACCAAAGGGAGAACATGAGAATAATACACAAGTCCGATGACTATTCAGCTGAAGAGTAGATATGTTTCAAAAGTAAAAGAAAGAGAAATCATAGAATCATAGAATATCAGGGTTGGAAGGGACCCCAGAACGTCATCTAGTCCAACCCCCTGCTCGAAGCAGGACCAATTCCCAGTTAAATCATCCCAGCCAGGGCTTTGTCAAGCCTGACCTTAAAAACCTCTAAGGAAGGAGATTCTACCACCTCCCTAGGTAACGCATTCCAGTGTTTCACCACCCTCATAGTGAAAAAGTTTTTCCTAATATCCAATCTAAACCTCCCCCACTGCAACTTGAGACCATTACTCCTCGTTCTGTCATCTGCTACCATTGAGAACAGTCTAGAGCCATCCTCTTTGGAACCCCCTTTCAGGTAGTTGAAAGCAGCTATCAAATCCCCCCTCATTCTTCTCTTCTGCAGGCTAAACAATCCCAGCTCCCTCAGCCTCTCCTCATAAGTCATGTGTTCTAGACTCCTAATCATTTTTGTTGTCCTTCGCTGGACTCTCTCCAATTTATCCACATCCTTCTTGTAGTGTGGGGCCCAAAACTGGACACAGTACTCCATATGAGGCCTCACCAATGTCAAATAGAGGGGAACGATCATGTCCCTCGATCTGCTCGCTATGCCCCTACTTATACATCCCAAAATGCCATTGGCCTTATGCAAACAATGTGCATCCCAAAGTGTACCATGTGAGTGAGAGGCCACGCTATAGGACAGAGGTTGTTTTGGCAGAAGCAGTCATCCATGCAAGGGCAAGTGTAGCAACAGTTCCATTGTCCATGACGAAGTGTTCAAAGACACTGGGAAGAAATCTCTCCAGGTTAAGATGAAATGGATAATGGTGCATAAGAGAATGTAATCTCCACAAAAGTTAAAGCCCTCAAGCTCCTCACTCCAGTATGCAGTAGTTGTATGCTTATGAATATGACCCAGTGGATGTGTAAAGTACATGCACTCCAGTATGTAAAGGCAACAAGAATATAAAATATAGCATAACGTTTTTAGATGTACAAGTGCCTGGGTTCAGATCTTTAACTGATCAAATTGGAGCTGGCATGTTCCCCACTGACATTACCAATATCAAAATAGCACCTGCTAAGACCTAATGAAATAATACAAAGATATATCTAATACATTTTGTTCCCATGGAACAAAAGACGAATGTGGCAGCCACTATAGGTCCCATAGTAAGTTTTAGCACCTTCTCCATGAGAATGTCAGTAGCAGTTGACACGAGATTTTGAGATTGGAAAATGCAGGTATAGTTGTCTCTGTAGATGATCCTACAGAATGAATAAATTCCATAGTGGAAAAACCACATACAGGACAGGAGGGATTGTGCCGAGAACCATGAGACCCAATTAGGCAAGCAAGCAATAACTTTTGATGGTGTAATTAATAAAGTGTTCTCTCAGTGGACACTGTGTTAATTCATGAAATGTCAGTGCCACTGCCTTACTCTTATAAATCTATTCTCCTTAGCCCTGTGTGACATCACCTCAAACATTATGTAGTACATTTTTTCCTCTAGGACTTTTAAGCAAGTTCAACTGGCAGTTTACCTTCATCCCTCCAAATATGGCAATTCAGTGTTCTGGCTGGCCACCAGAACTACAGGATTTTGTTTTATATGTGTATATATATAAAACCGGCATGATTTTCCCTACATGCCTGGGCCGCTTTGATTCAACCTCTGCTTGTTTTCATTGTGAGGGATCGTCTCGTTTTCCTAGGTTTAGTTTTCTTTCTGTGTTCATGGTAAAATAAACATGTACTTTTAGTCTTAGTCCCAGCACGTATCAGGCAGCTGCAGTGGCATTGCCCACCTTCAGATGTTCCACTGTGGAGAGCAGTGTCAGAGCTAGATTTTCTGCGGGTGTAAACTGGCATTGCTTCAAGCTCTGTAGGTGCCAGGGCCTCACTGCAGAGCCTGCAAATCTACTTGTAGATTGCCTCTGGCCCACAGAATGGAGTGTCCTGTTAACTGTTGGTATCAGGACTATGGCATGCAAACTGGGTTGGTATCAGTGCTTCACCTTAATAGATGCTGTAGACTCTAACTGTTCTTCAGTTTTATGCTGATGTCACCATGAAATACAGAAGTCCACCAGAACTCTCCCAAAGCCAGGGGCTGCTGTCTTCATTAGAATGTGACTGTATCCGGGGGAGGAGAAGGGAAAGGTGTGTAATTGTTTAAAGAAGGTTCCCCAGGGAATTTTTTAATCTGGGTTCTTAAGGCCTAGGAACAGTGATACAAAGCATAGCAGATGCTGAATCTGTGTATAAAACCTAAGGTTTCACTGTTATAAGAATAAAGATATTACTAGGTTTTTGATTGAGTGATATAACAAACTGATAATTACCCTCCTCTGTGTTTCTAGTTTTGAATTTCGTGTCTGCATCAGGTTTTTAAGTATATCTGTACTTCCAGTGGGGAAGATCCTTTTATGGCAAGTGGCCTTTTTAGCTGCGTGTCCTGTTTATTTAATTTTTTTTTCTTGGTCTTTTAAATCTCCATGAAATCTTTTCAGTGTTATAAGTTCAGAAATATTTTTAAATGTTTATACAGAAAAAAGTCTTAGCATTTCACTTGTTTAATTTAGACTGAATGTTTGGTTCAGGGCTAGAGGTGAAAGTACCACATTTCTTACGGATTTATATTGGGAAATTAGAAAACAATAAAATAAACTTGTCCACCACGGAATTATTATTAGATACCATGTTATGTTGGTTTATATACCTCATGCTGTCATGCTAACCCTATCAAAAGCACTTTTACTATGTCTCTTGTCACATATCTATGACATCATTCTTGCTTCTAAGGACTAATCTAAACATGCAAGTAGTACAGACAACTAAAATTGGTTGAAAAACTGAGGTGCAGATGCCTGTGCAAACCATCTTAAATGAGTTTCCAAATGGTTTATATTATTTTACTTCATGTTGGTAACTTTCTCCACTGAGGTTTGTACCAGTTTAATTGTATCAGTTTAAAATAATACCTTTAGTAAAATCAGTGAAAGTTTCTGTGTAGGTGAGGCCTTAGTTCATTGTAATGTAGAAGCTCCTCTCTGGAAATACAAACTATTCGCCCTTCACACTTCACATTCTAGACCTAGGTTTTTGTGGATAAAGGGAATAACAAGTATAGTTTCTGTACCTTTGTTCTGTAAGCTCAAATTTCAGACAGGTTTTTGTATGCATAACATTTTGAATGTACAATTTGTTACAGCATATACAGGTAGTACATTAGAGTAATATGTAGTTAATGCATGCTGTAGATAAAGTGGAGTTTCACTCTGTTCTACCACCTTTTTTTGTCAGTGGCCCCCAATGTACCCAAACAAAATTTCTTTTGGGCTAAATTATCCACGCTGCGTTTCAACACACTCATACGTTTATTTCATGCAAAAGCATAGGCAAAATCAATTGAGTTACTTCTGAATTAATATTGGCCTATTGTTGGGGGCGGGGTGGCTGTGTGCCCCAGGTCGGCAGTACCGCTTAGTGGTGATATTCTGGACTGTATCGCCTAATGGCAAGAATCCAGGGCCACTTTGCCTTGCAGCTATGATACACAATAGTGTCACCCAGGGGTGAGAGCCTAGGGGCCACTCTGCCTACCGGCTGCAGTCTACGATAGCGTCACCCAAAGGCAAGAGTCCAAGGCCCCTTTACCTAATGGCTGCAGTCCACAATAGTGTCACCCAATAGCAAGTCAATGGCCACCCTGCTTATTGGCTATAGTGCAAGGTGGGTAATGAAACTTGGAGTCACCCTACTCCACTGGGCTCCAACCCAGGACCTTTCAAAACAGTGGTCCATATATGTGTTCTAGGGTCTATTACTCTTATTCGTGTTCCCTGGGTATCTTCCTGACCTTGTTTCAGTACTTCTGTTGGCATCACAGCTCTGTCTTGTGATCCCTCCTGGCTTCCTCCCAAGTTCGTCTCCAGACTCCCTTCCCCTGGTGATAGCAAATTGTCACCCTCGGTTCCCACAGTCAAAGGGCTCCCAGTGGCTCGGTATGAGGCTCAGCCCCGAGCGGTTGGAGTCCAAGTGGCTTCTCAGTAGGAGGCTGCTGCATCCAATTGCTTTTCTCCCCAGTCAGCCCGCACTGAGCTGAGCTGCTCCCTTTGAATGCTCCATCCAGTGGAAGCGGCTTCTTACCCCTTGCCTCACCAATGCAGAGCCAATACACCCTGTCACACCTATATATATGAAAAATGGCTTCTTCCAGCAATTCTGTGCAAAAAACACTAAAATTTCATTCAGATCTAGCTTTTTAAAATAGATCTACAAAAGATTATTTTTTGTCTTTACCACTATTTCAATAGTAGTACAATATTACAATATTAATAACATACACATAAAGTATTTGGTTTTCAGTGTATTAGGTGTTAGTTGTTTAATCAACAAACTTTGAAAACACCCAAAGATTTTAGATAATATGGGTACAATGAGCCTCAGATAAGGACAACCTGGTTTCAGCTGATTACAAGGCAAATAGTGCCAGATCAAGGAACTCAAAGGTATTAGTGCAAACATAAAGTTTGAAAAATCAAGCATTCGTTATAGAGTTAAGGCTGGAAAGCTTAGACATAACTCTATGCAACACGCTTATGCCTTAAAATATGACCCTTAACACAAAAGCAGCAGTCTGGCCTGTCACCCTCAGCAAGTGTCAATGCTTACAAGTAAAACACTTGCTAATGGATCAGTTTGGTCCAAATACCATAGGACTGTCAGAGGCCCCAGAATTACTGGGAACATTGGAAATGCTTCATAAACTCCCCAGGCCCATTTCCACTATGTATGTGTTATTAATGAAAAGGAGCTCCATTGGCCATTATCTTTGAAAATTCGTGGTGATCATTTCGGGGGAGGTCCTGGACGATTGGAAAAAGGCAAATATAGTGCCCTTATTTAAAAAAAGGGAAAAAAGAGAACCCGGAGAACTACAGACCGGTCAGCCTCACTTCTGTCCCCAGCAAAATCATGGAGCCGGTCCTCAAGGAATCCATTTTGAAGCACTTGGAGGAGAGGAAGGTGATCAGGAACAGTCAACATGGTTTCACCAAGAGCAAGTCATGCCTGACCAACTTTATTGCCTTCTATGATGAGATAATTGGCTCTGTGGATATGGGGAAAGTGGTGGATGTGATATATCTTGACATTAGCAAAGCTTTTGATACGGTTTCCCACAGTATTCTCGCCAGCAAGTTAAAGAAGTATGGATTGGATGAATGGACTATAAGGTAGATAGAAAGCTGGCTAGATTGTCGGGCTCAACGGATAGTGATCAACGGCTCGATGTCTAGTTGGCAGCCGGTATCAAGCAGAGTGCCCCAGGGGTCGGTCCTGGGGCCGATTTTCTTCAACATCTTTATTAATGATCTGGATGATGGGATGGATTGCACCCTCAGCAAGTTCACAGATGACACTAAGCTAGGGGGAGAGGTAGATATGATAGAGGGCAGGGATAGGGTCTAGAGTGACCTAGACAAATTGGACGCTTGGGCCAAAAGAAATCTGATGAGGTTCAATAAGGACAAGTGCAGAGTTCTGCACTTAGGAAGGAAGAATCCCATGCACCTCTACAGGCTGGGGACCAACTGGCTAAGCAGCAGTTCTGCGGAAAAGGACCTGGGGATTACAGTGGACGAGAAGCTGGGGATATGAGTCAGCAGTGTGCCCTTGTTGCCAAGAAGGCCAATGGTATACTGAGCTGTATTAGCAGGAGCATTGCCAGCAGACTGAGGGAAGTGATCAGCAAGGTCAGCTCCCAGACTGCTGCGCTGGGCATCGCAAAATGGGGAAGAGATGGCCAGCCCTCTGTGGAGATAGAGGTGGTTAGGGACTATTTAGAAAAGCTGGACGTGCACAAGTCCATGGGGCCGGACGAGTTGCATCCGAGAGTGCTGAAGGAATTGGCGGCTGTGATTGCAGAGCCATTGGCCATTATCTTTGAAAACTCGTGGCGAACCGGGGAAGTCCCGGATGACTGGAAAAAGGCTAATGTAGTGCCAATCTTTAAAAAAGAGAAGAAGGAGGATCCTGGGAACTACAGGCCAGTCAGCCTCACCTCAGTCCCTGGAAAAATCATGGAGCAGGTCCTCAAAGAATCAATCCTGAAGCACTTGTATGAGAGGAAAGTGATCAGGAACAGCCAGCATGGATTCACCAAGGGAAGGTCATGCCTGACTAATCTAATCGCCTTTTATGATGAGATTACTGGTTCTGTGGATGAAGGGAAAGCAGTGGATGTATTGTTTCTTGACTTTAGCAAAGCTTTTGACACGGTCTCCCACAGTATTCTTGTCAGCAAGTTAAGGAAGTATGGGCTGGAAGAATGCACTATAAGGTCGGTAGAAAGCTGGCTAGATTGTCGGGCTCAACGGGTAGTTATCAATGCCTCCATGTCTAGTTGGCAGCCGGTATCAAGTGGAGTGCCCCAAGGGTCGGTCCTGGGGCCGGTTTTGTTCAATATCTTCATAAATGATGTGGAGAATGGTGTGGATTGCACTCTCAGCAAATTTGCGGATGATACTAAACTGGGAGGAGTGGTAGATACGCTGGAGGGGAGGGATAGGATACAGAAGGACCTAGACAAATTGGAGGATTGGGCCAAAAGAAATCTGATGAGGTTCAATAAGGATAAGTGCAGGGTCCTGCACTTAGGACGGAAGAACCCAACGCACAGCTACAGACTAGGGACCGAATGGCTAGGCAGCAGTTCTGCGGAAAAGGACCTAGGGGTGACAGTGGACGAGAAGCTGGATATGAGTCAGCAGTGTGCCCTTGTTGCCAAGAAGGCCAATGGCATTTTGGGATGTATAAGTAGGGGCATAGCGAGCAGATCGAGGGACGTGATCGTTCCCCTCTATTCGACATTGGTGAGGCCTCATCTGGAGTACTGTGTCCGGTTTTGGGCCCCACACTTCAAGAAGGATGTGGATAAATTGGAGAGAGTCCAGCGAAGGGCAACAAAAATGATTAGGGGTCTGGAACACATGAGTTATGAGGAGAGGCTGAGGGAGCTGGGATTGTTTAGCCTGCAGAAGAGAAGAATGAGGGGGGGATTTGATAGCTGTTTTCAGCTACCTGAAAGGGGGTTCCAAAGAGGATGGCTCTAGACTGTTCTCAATGGTAGCAGATGACAGAACGAGGAGTAATGGTCTCAAGCTGCAGTGGGGGAGGTTTAGATTGGATATTAGGAAAAACTTTTTCACTAAGAGGGTGGTGAAACACTGGAATGCGTTACCTAGGGAGGTGGTAGAATCTCCTTCCTTAGAGGTTTTTAAGGTCAGGCTTGACAAAGCCCTGGCTGGGATGATTTAACTGGGAATTGGTCCTGCTTCGAGCAGGGGGTTGGACTAGATGACCTTCTGGGGTCCCTTCCAACCCTTATATTCTATGATTCTATGATTCTATGATTATTCCCCTCTATTCGGCACTGGTGAGGCCACACCTGGAGTATTGAGTCCAGTTTTGGTCCCCCCACTATAGAAGGGACGTACACAAATTGGAGAGAGTCCAGCAGAGGGCAACAAAAATGATTAGGGGGCTGGGGCACATGACTTACGAGGAAAGGCTGAGGGAATTAGGGTTATTTAGTCTGCAGAAGAGAAGAGTGAGGGGGGATTTGACAGCAGCCTTCAACTACCTGAAGGGGGGTTCCAAAGAGGATGGAGCTAGGCTGTTCTCAGTGGTGACAGATGACAGAACAAGAAGCAATGGTCTCAAGTTGCAGTGGGGGAGGTCTAGGTTGGATATTGGGAAACACTATTTCACTAGGAGGGTGGTGAAGCACTGGAATGCGTTACCTAGGGAGGTGGTGGAATCTCCATTCTTAGAGGTTTTTAAAGCCTGGCTTGACAAAGTCTTGGCTGGGATGATTTAATTGGTGTTGGTCCTGCTTTGAGCAGGGGATTGGACTAGATGGCCTCCTGAGGTCTCTTCCAACCCTAATATTCTATGATTCTATGGTCTGGAGTTCCTTGTGAAAGCATGGGAAGGGGAGTTACCACAGCTGTTAAAAGAGCCCCAAATGTAGAGCATGTTATGGAAAATTAAAATGCTTCTGATGCAGCAAAAGATTCTATTCAGAGGGTATTTGACACCACAGAGTCTTTTCAAAATGTGGGCCTTGTCCTCTTATGTTTGTTGGTGCTGTAATAAAGAAAAAAGAACCCGGATGCATCAGCTTTGGGAATGTCCAACGGGCAGGCAGCAGTGGAAGGGGGTGAACCCAAGAGTGAAAACAGTGCTTGACGTCAGCAACCAAACCTCAGCTGAAAATTATATCTGAGGTTATGTACCACAAAACCCACAAAAACTTTAATTTTTGAGGATTGTAGTGACTTGGAGTGGTTCCTCCCTGTCTGCGTCAGAGGGAGGCTACTCCGCCTTGCTATGCCACCTAACTGCTGAGGGCAGATCAACAAGGGATTTGGACTATAAATCAGTAAGGAGTCTATTGCCAACCCTCTGGCTGGGGTAAGAAGCAAACAAAGCCAGTTTCAGCCCTCTGGGCCGGGCCAAGTAATACTAAGCAATCAGGCTCAAGTCCTCTGGGTGGGGCAGAACAGAGGCAGCCTGTGGCCCCGGTCCCCTGGGACAAGCAGCAAACGAATGCAGGCTGTCCAGCTTAAGGTGGGTAGGCTGTCACTCCAGTGGTGGGGTTGGCAGCGGGGGGTAGGGGGACCCAGGCCCAACTTATTCCACTGGTTCCCAGCCCAGGGTCTTAACCGTGTTGGGGAATCCCACCACTGGGTCAGCGGGGATCCTGCCAAAACACACTGACCGTGGCTTCAGCAAACGCAACTGGACTAATGTCTGGTTTCCCTGGGCTACTTCATACGCCTACCTGGTCATAGGGCTTTGTCGCTCATGGGCCCTTGGGCTCTTTGGGGTACCTGGCAGCCGGCAGCTCCAACAGCCCTTCGGGGTATTTGCCGTGGGACAGCTTCTCCAGATGCTTGCCAGGTGGCAGCTCCTTCAGGTGTTCCTCCAAAGGCAGGGTTTGATACAGCGCAGTCACTAGTTCAGGGGACAGCAGCATCTGACTCCTTTGCTGGCTCTCCCTAAACTGTTGGAGTAGGCATACACCCAGAGTAGAGCAGTGGTATCTGGACCTGTCTGAGTCTGCAGAGAAAGAAAGAATAGCTTCATTGATGTAGAGAGCAATGGTATGAATTCGAATAAATTTTATTTAATTTCTTGATATATTTGGATAAAAAATGTTGAGATAGCTCAAATAATGCCAGACTTTCATCCCACCTGACCTCTCTGCTTTTTCCTTCCCACTCCCCCCCGACCCCGGTCCCCTCCTTCCCTTTTTTGCTTATGTTTTTTATTGTTACCCCAACCCTAACATGTTATATCTGTGTAATATTGTCTGATTTTGTATTGTTTAGTCTTGCTGCTTTGACAAGTTGTAAAGTAGCATAATTGCATGTTTTTATTGGCTATCCTGTGAAATGTGTGGTATTTGGTAACATATACTAGTTGTAAGTCGTTTACCTTTTAATATTTTTTATTGCTTGTTTCTTTATGAAAATTAATTAATAATTACTCATAAAAATAGGATCCCTTCATTAAGATATTATTTCAAATATTACTACTATATACAGATTAGAATTCATTGAGACTCTACAATAATTAAAAGAAAGTACAGCACAATTTTACTACACATACATGGGACTTCTTACTTTAAATGGTTATAACCTTATAACTACTCAATTGATGTCTTTCAAATGTGGCTCACGTTATCAAGTTCTGTAAAAATCTGCCAAAGTTACGTCTGATATTTCTTCTTTTCAGTTTCTGTTACCCTATGTTGCAGCAAAAAATGTTGCACACAGATGTTCATTTAGCAGCCGTGTTAGTCTGTATTCACAAAAAGAAAAGGAGGACTTGTGGCACTTTAGAGACTAACCAATTTATTTGAGCATAAGCTTTCGTGAGCTACAGCTCACTTCATCGGATGCATGAGGAAAATACAGTGAGGAGATTTATGCATCCGATGAAGTGAGCTGTAGCTCACGAAAGCTTATGCTCAAATAAATTGGTTAGTCTCTAAGGTGCCACAAGTACTCCTTTTCTTTTTACAGATGTTCATGTTGCTTTTGTTGTTCGTGTGTAAATTAGGAAAATAGGTGGCGTTTTAAAATATGCTAAAACATGTCAATTAAAACCTATTAGCTAACATATTTTTAGGGCCACTACAGCTAGGGTGAAATCCTAGGCAAAACTCCCCTTGACTTAAATGGAGCCAGGATTATACCTCTAGTGTACACAGGGTTTAACACCTTTAAGAAAAAAAAAAACAAAAAACAAAACAGAGCTGGTTCTACAGTCTGCCCTATTTGACGGTCAGTTATTGTGGGCCTCAAATGTAGGCCCATGGGGTTACTAAGTAAGATCCCTACTGTCAGTGCCGCAAGTGCAGAAGAGGGAACTGCAGCTAATACCCCACCACTGGAGGTTACACCAGCAGATTCAGTGGGGTCAGATGGCTAGCAGCAGACTGTGGCTGGACACCACCAAGTATAAAGATTCCTGTTCCTGGCCTACCCCTTGTCTGAGCAACTAGTTGTTAGGCCTAAACCATGGAGTCCAAGTCTCTTCCTCCTTGCCTGATTCCTGCTGCTTCACCTTGCTCCCTTTTCCCAGGACCACATATTGTCCCACTCACATTACCATGCCTTGTTCCTGGTTTTAGCTTTCTCACCCTGAACCAAGTTGCTGACTGTGGCTTGACCCTTGGAGTGATTTCTGACTCTGTTTGCCTTAATAGTTAGTGTGACTTCTGACTCTGCCCCTACTCTTGTCCCTTGATTTGATTTCTGACTCTGGCTTGACTTACGGCATTACCTCTGAACTCTGACCCTGATGCCACACCCAGCTCTGCCCACTAGGAAAGACTGCCCTGTTACAGACCTTGATGTTGACTATGACAAATGGACACAAGTTTTAGAGGTAGTTAAATCCTACCTATAGCAAGTCCCTGATCCAGTCCCACTGAAGTCAACAGGAGCTTTACCATTGACTTCAGTGGGCACAGAATCAAGTCCTAGGTGCCAAGTGGTGAATTCAACATTAGCTAACAATAATTATTTTCATCATTGAGATTTGACCATACAAGAAACAGATTGTAGGGTGTTTTTTCTATGCAAGCAGCTCAACCAAATATTGTTCAAATATTAAATACAAAAATCCATAAGCAAGTTTGAAGAAAATTGGTTTAGTAGTTTTAGAGTTATGACAAATGTTTTAACATGATGATTAATGTTTTTAAAGTTGAATGGGCCGGACGTTGAAGTGGCCTCCACAGACATAGTCTCAGTGCCAGATGCACTCATGGACTGAGGGCCAGAAGTACAGCAAAGCTCTAGGCTCAGGGCATATGAAAATACAAATAGGCTTAATGCTACTTCTTTTTAAAGTAAAGCAAAATAGCTGCTGGCTATACAAACTCTTTTCCTTTTCCTGTTCTAGCCTAATCTGTAGTGCAACATCAGTCACTGTCCAATATGTTAACCATAAAATGTACCTCTGTGTTGTTTAAAACAGAAGTTATGTGATGTTTTAACACACACTGAAATGGAGTCATGTATTGATTCAGCTTTTATGCAGTGTTGTTGTAGCTGTGTTTGGTCCTAGGATATCAGAGAGAAAAGATGGGTGAAGTAATATCTTTTATTGGACCAACTTCTGTTGGTGAGAGAGAGAAGCTTTTCAGGTCCTGAAGAAAAGCTCTGTGTAGCTCAAAAGCTTATCTCTCTCACCAACAGAGGTTGATCTAATAAAAGATATTTCCTCACCCACCTTCTCTCTCTGATATTCAGATTTTAGTGAAGCAATGTGTTTTGGGTAAGGAGAATTAGTTTTTTAAACAATTCCCTGTGGTACTGGAACTCACCCCCCCTGCCCAGTCACTCCTTCCCCTGTACCTCTCCACAGTGTATGTGTGTAGGCTGGAGAGATAGCATCACCGAGGCAACTAACAGCCCCTCTTCCACACATAGAAGGTTCCCCTCCACACAAAGATCTGAGGCAATAATGGGGCTTTCATGATCCAGTAAAGCACGTAAGCATTTGCACAGTTTTAAGCATGTGAGTGACCATTCAGCTTGGAAAAGAGATGACTAAAGGGGAATATGATAGAGGTCTATTAAATCATGACTGGTGCGGAGAAAGTAAATAAGGAAGTGTTATTTACTCCTTCTCATAACACAAGAACCAAAGGCCACCAAATGAAATTAATAGGCAGCAGGTTTAAAACAAACAAAAGGAAGATTTTTTTTACACAATGCACAGTGAACCTGTGGAACTCCTTGCCAGAGGATGTTGTGAATGCCAAGACATTAACAGGGCTCAAAAAAGAACTCGATGAATTCACGGAGGATAGGTCCATCAATGGCTATTAATCAGGATGGGCAGGGATGGTGTCCCTAGACTCTGTTTGCCAGAAGTTGGCAATGGGGGACAGGGGATGGATCACTTGATGATTACCTGGTCTGTTCATTCCCTCTGGGGCATCTGGCATTGGCCACTGTTGAGACAGGCTACTGGGCTAGATGGACCTTTGGTCTGACCCGGTATGGCTGCTCTTATGTTCTTACATGCTTAAGGACTTTGCTGGATCAGGACATATGTCAGCAGGATCATGGGACAACTGTGCTGGCATTAGCTCACGGCACACGCTATGCCCCCTCCAAGATACAAAGCAGAGTTCGCATGTCAGCATTGACTGTCCCCAGATGTCATGAGAAGGGTGCCAAGAATAGCGCCTGTCCCCCACAGTTCCTCCCTCCCCCACTTCCTCCTCCCTTATGCCCCCTCATGTGTTTTGTGTTTACATGTATTTCATGGCAAGAAAACAGAGCCTGTAAAGCTTGCCCAGACAGAGTTAATGGGACACAGTCAAGTAGTATATGCTCCTAACTTAACTGAATTTAAACTAGTTATATGGGATATAGTATGTCTTACAGTCAGACTGTTTAAATGATCCATGTCTCACTGTGGAGTGTTTTGAAAAGAGCTCAGTATCCATACTTTATTATTATTATTTCTTTGGGATGGATCTCTTTGCTGGCTGTACTGCAGCAGACAACAAAGCTATTTCCAAAGCTGTGCTAGTATTATTGATTATATGAGTGCACAAACAAATGTTTGAGCAAGATAAAATGCTGCATACGTTTCAGTAGGGGTTTTTTGTTTGTTTTTTGTTAAACTGTCCGTGTGATCTTTAGCTTAATTTGAAATAGTGAAAAATCAACACTTGCCACTGGAGAGAAAAAGAGAAAGCTGTAGGGACAGAAATGTCGTATTCCAGCTTCTGAGTGGGAGAGAGAGAGAGAGAGAGAGAGAGAGAGAGTATACATTTCTATAATTTTAGTGATGTGATTAGAAGCAAGTATAACAGCACTAGTCAGAATATGGAATGCCATGAGTACCAATATGGCCAGCCATATAGTAGCTCATAGCTCCCTCAAAGAAGTTTGTCCAAGTGAAGTACCTCACTTGTAAGTCGGAGAGAGAGAGCTCTGCTAATACACTGGACAACAAAGCCATATAGCATCTAATTTTTGAGTTATCATCTTATCCTTTAAATCCAAGCTGACAGCGGCCCCAGATAATTTATTACCTGGGTGTTCACTAATCATTATTGTCAGAATGAGGTAAAATATTCAGGTTTTAGAGTAGCAGCCGTGTTAGTCTGTATCCACAAAAAGAAAAGGAGGACTTGTGGCACCTTAGAGACTAACAAATTTATTTGAGCATAAGCTTTCGTGAGCTGTAGTCACAAAAGCTTATGCTCAGATAAATTTGTTAGTCTCTAAGGTGCCACAAGTCCTCCTTTTCTTTTTGTAAAATATTCAAATACTCTGTATTGTGTGCAATATTTTGGTGTTAGAAGACTTTCTAGTTTTGTAGAAACTCCAAAGGCATTTTACTACTGGCAGCAGGAGACCCCCAGCATATGTCCTCCAGGCTGGAAAACCCATGGAATTTTTTTTTTTTTTTTACATTATAGACAGATGCTTAAGTAGCAGCTCATCCTGTTTTCTAATCTGATGTCATAGTCAGTAACATCCTTATTATCCTGGATCAATACCCTGTCATGTGATTGATCAGTTAGAAGTTTGATCTTTAAATATTTCAGGTCTTGTGCTTCTGAATTGCCAATGAGACTAAAACAGATAATGGTATCTTTGATTTAGTGTGCCAGTCAGTCAAATTGTGCCAACTCTGTTCTTCAGACATATTTTGTAACCAGTGATTTAACATTCGAGTTGTATGAATCCACTCACCAGTTTTCAATAAAACCAACTATGTCATTTTTACTCATACATGAGCTCTTCTGATTCCTTCTGTTTATTACCCAAGCTCCAAGCACTGGTAAATAGGCAATTAACTTTTCTCTTCATGTTTTATGATTCTTTGATTCATTATATTCATAACACCTTGAGTGTGAGTTATATTCCTGTGTTTGCCCCCTTAACATCTTCCCCCTTTGTTGTTAGTTTAATGTCTTTCTAACTAGTTTAACTAGTTGGTCATCTCGAAAATCTCTTGCTTTTGACATAGATGCCATCTACACTGTACAGCCCCATCTCCTGTAGAAGAAGGTGGTCCAATGTTACACAGAACCAAACCTCTCTATTTTACATCAACCTAACCAACCATTCTCCTTTGCTACTTTCTGTCAGCTCTCTTCCCTTGCTCAGGTGACATAAAGGATCTGAAAATTGAAGACCCAGACATTCCTCTTCTCCATTTCGCTTCTGGCATCCTGGAAGTCTTCAATAATCTGTGAAATATCACTTGAAGCTGTGTCATTAGTATCATCATCCGTGGTGTCTCACTTGTTTTGTCTTTAGAATCCCACCAACCTTGTAGCCAAGCCCTTTGTTGGCGCTCCAGGAAGAAAGCATGCCATGCTGCTGCCTTTTTGGCCATTGTAGAGTGTTCTATCCACTCTCCTTAGTACATAGGCCTTGCTGCGGATTGTCTCTTTTCTTTATTACAACCTGTCTGTTGAGCACACTTCAGGTCCTTGTGGAATGAGCTGAGCAGCTAGGTGTAGGTATGACCCCTGAAGTTCTCTGTTGCTTTTCTTCATTTGAGGCCTAACAGAGATTATCTGTGGCTGCCATGCTGAGTAGTAGATTTGTTACCTCTGGCTGTGTAGAATTCCTCATGGTGCTCTCTGTCCTGGGGGTCCCAGACTACCCATCATCATCATCTCTATTTCTTAGAGGATTTGATTATTAGAGATGTCAATAGGTGCGTATCTGATGACCTACCTACAATGTACGAAGGTGGCAAATCCCACGCAATATCTATACAAACTTCTAATAAGTTCTGGGGATGAGCTGGTGGCTGTAGCATATGTGGATACCAATAACCTAGAGATGGGTAGGAGAGGGATCCTGGAAACTAAATTTAGATTACTAGGATAAAAAGCTTAGCCCTCGAGCTCTTATACTAGCTTTCTCTGAAAAGCTGCTAGTTTCATGAGCAGGGTCAACTAGATGGGAGGAGCTTGGGTCTCAATAAATGGATAAAAGATGGTATAAAGAGGTGTGTTTTAAATTTTATTAGGCACAGGGAAAATTTGAGGGGAGAGAATCTGTACAGATATATGGGTGCTGATAGACTAATGTTCTGACTGGAAGTTCATTATATCCATCAGTGACATTTTAACCAGGAAAAAATCTTTAATGTGTTTCATCTGACATTACTGAAAGATAAATTTGTGCATCCTCAGATACGATCCATGTCACCTATATGAACAATTTAAAAAAGACTGGGTGATGCTGTGCACCAATATTCTTGATGAAGTTAATAATAATTTAACTCCTAGCTGAGCTAAAGAAGTGGCCTTCATCATTAGATAATTGGTAAATATTACGTGTACCATTGTTACAACAGCAGCATTCCTGATGGATAATACTTTGTTTTTGTTTCCAAGGACTTGATTCTGCCACCCTGACTCACACTGAATTTTAATGGCATTACTTGTGTATTAAGGTGCTAGTCACTGTAAGCGTGGCTGAATTGATCCCTGAACATTTCTGCTGTTTCAACAGTAAAGTTGTGGGAATAAAGCAAGTGTGTTTATTGTGTTCTTGATTAAAGCTCTTAAAAGGAATTTTAAAAATTTGCAGCTAAATAGTATTTTGGAAAATAAAAATTGGCTGCAAAATAGTACCTTCCCAACATAATGTGTATGTGAGGCCCTTAATGGAACATAATCCAATTTCTAGTGCCAGAATTAAATCTTGCAGGTGCCACAAATCATTGGTATCTTAATAGAAAAATTGTTTTTCTTTGCAATTTATAAAGAAATGAAAAGTAATGTCAGTAAAATAGGTAAGGAGAAGGGGAGATGGAAGAGAAGTGGAGAACATGTTTTGAAATACTAAGCAGAATTCTAAGTCAGAACATCAGATCAGAGTCCACTCCAGTTTTAGGGAAGTTCACAACCAAACTTCAGTACATTATCAAATAAAGCCATGAACTCTAAGCATAGGTAATGTGTATATAGACATAGTTATAATCTGTGCATGAACATATTGTTAATTACAGTACTTTCAAATTTGTTTTTATACTTGTATTATTTATAGGCTTAATGATAGGAAATTGACTTTTGACTATTGTAAATTGTTGTCTTGGTTTCCATGATCTCCCCTCTGAAACTGAATGGTCAATACAAATTGTTGTTAAAGTGATTATTCTTTTTGTGTTGGGGAACTATTGTGATCAGCCCCCTCATTTAGCTGCTTGTAAGTATCTTAATAGATACATAACGGTAGATGCAACAGCAGACCCCTCATGGTTCAACAGCTCTGTCTCACATCCTGTAAAACTTTCATTTTAGCACTGAACCATTTTGTTACATAACAACATTCATATGTAATTTCTTAGGTGTCAATTTGATCATCAGTTTGTGGGGAAACAGACACAGGAGCTAAGGCCAAAGTTTTGCATTGGAGTTACCTAAACTGGGCACATAAATCCACCTGTGAGCACCTAAAGAAAAGTGTCCTGATTTTCAGATCGGTAGAGCCTACTGTTCTTTTAAAAATCAGAACATTTTGTTAGGCGCCTATCTCTATGCACCCAAACTAGAGAATTTTGTCTAGGGCCCCAACCCTGCAAATGTTTTACTTTAAGAGTAGTCCCAATTGACTTAAGTGGAATTTCTCATATGAATAAATGTAAACATGTGAATGAATGTTTGTAGAGGCCTATATGACTTGCATTGGGAGGCATTGTATTTTAGTGGATTAGACCTAGATCTGGTCACTGGAGACTTGGATTCCAGACCTGGTTCTGACTTGCTGTGTAACACCGGGCATGTTACTTGAATTCTGAAAACACCTGTAAATTGTGGATACTGATTTGACAAATGTTGTAAAGTGCTGTATGAAGTGGCAGTATTAAGGCTTGTTAGTAGAATTCTGGACATCCTGGTTCATAGTGCTTAATCCTCTAGACCATATGGCTTTAGGGGCAGCATCATTTCCTCCTCCCAGCTTTTAAGTATTCACAAGTGTGGAATTTTTTTAAGCAAAAGTGTTTTTTTTTTAATTTAAAAAATAACCCTTTCAGACAGTGACAAATACGTTACAAAAACTAACATTGAGAAGTGTTATAAGATCACCCCAAACTCAAAAACAGACGAATTTAAAAAGGAAAAAAAACTTCACATTACAAATGTCTTGCCTAGCTCTACCTATGGAGGGCCTGATCTTACATTGTTCTGAGTGCCCTCACTTAGTGAGCTGAGTGTGACCAGCACCTTGCAGGATCAGGTTGAGCCCTCAGCACCTAGCACATGATATCCATAATACAGGAAGTTTAATTCTGATTGAACCTGCAACAGACACCTATATTAACTGCAATGGAGTTACTCCTGATTTTACAACACCATCAGGGAAAGGAGAATCAGGCTCAGCATTTCTCAGATTATCTTGCTTCTCAGTTAAACACCTACCTTGACTGTGATTTTTCTGAGAAGTTTTGTAGCACTTTACAGCTGACAAACTCTCTCCCCCTTCTTTCTGCTTCTTCCATTATCCTCTTTGTGTGAGGTCCTTATTTTTTATCTTATTTTGTAAAATGAGTCAGTTGGCTTATATTCAAGGCAGAGTAAGTGGCTGCTTCTGCAAAGAAAATTAATATTCTTGTTTGGAAGAGTGAAAGTAAATTATTAACTGGAAGGGGAGGCAAGCCTGCAATTAGTATCGCCATTGCCCTCTACTGTGCATGCTGCAAAACACATTGTGTATAAAGTTTCCCTTAAGCTCTCCCTACCAAAACTCTTATTGTCAGTGAACTTTGTACAGCTTTGGTTTCCTTATCTTGCTGTAAACTCAACAAGAGAAAATCCACTGAGATATCTTTTGTTTGATGTTTTTTGTTTTTGCTTCTTGTAAACTATATTATTTCTGTAGGACTCAATATTCCCTAAACAGACATCCTCCTGAAGATTTTTCAGTGTCAGCCAGAAGGGAAGTTTCAGTGATAGATTTTTATAGGTCTTGCTTCCAGTTTCATGTAGATGGTTCTTTCTATATAGGTTTTCATGGGCCAAAAGGAAAGTGGACGCCTACTTTGAGAGGAGCAGGAAATGGCAAAAGTCTGTCTTCAGTTTACTTCTTCCCTTTTCCCCTTAGATAAAAAAATGAATATTTTATTTTTTACTGGATGTGGCTCAAAGTAAAAAGAATCCTTTACCCAGTCCATAGGGCTGGCATGCAGAAATTTGGAACAGCTGGAATATTTCTTTCACCTGATAATTCTTTGTTCTTCTATATCACCTTTAATCAGAGTAGCTGTGACCTGGGCTATATAAACACCTTAGCTAGAATGAGAGATAGTAGCTCAGAGTATTAACAGATATATGATTAAGTCTGTCAGTGTTCCTGTTCACAATACCGTTATTATACTTTATATTTATATAATATTTATATATTATACTTTTTCATAAGTAAAATGTAGTCATTTGGCCAAGTCATGCAATGAGTCCCTAAGGGTATATCTACACAGTAGAGAAAACCCCGCAGCTGGCCTGTGCCAGCTGACTAGGGCTCTCAGAGCTCAAGCTGTGGGGCTGTTTCATTGCTGTGTAGACTTCCAGGTCTGGAATCCTCCCATCTTTTTTGTGGGTGTGAGGGAGATCTTGGTGTAATTTTTTAGTTATTTAAACCAACCAAAAAAATCCGTCATACAGTTTCATATTGACACTCACATGGATTATCAGCAGGGTTGGAACCTTTAGATCCACCACACAGACATCTGCCACTTCAGCTAATGGAGTACCTGATAGCAGTAGTCGGTTGTCATCATGTGTGAACCATCACTGGAGGGGGATCAGACACATACTTTGCCAGAGGGTTTTACAGATACTTTGTGTCAGCATCAGAATGGTGAGACTCAGAAATCTTGGGATCCATTCCAGGCTCTGAAGGGAGTGTTCTCTAGCAGGTGCAGACTGTTATGTCCATTTCCCCCAATCCCCTCTGATCTGTTCCTATGCCAGCTCCATTCTCCTTGCCTACCCAGTCTCCACTCCTGAGGTTTCTCATCCCAGTTCCCTTTCCCAGCCAGTCCCTATTCCCCCTGCCAGCTCCTCATCTGATCTGTCTCTCTGCCACATACATACTGGATCTTAGAGTCCTTCTCTGAGCTCCTCATCCAATCTCATTCTCACCCCCCTCCCTCCTTCCCCCAGTACACCCATTTAGGTTTTTCGCAGGAGTGGTGGGTGAAATTCTGTGGCTTGCGTTGTGCAGGAGGTCAGACTAGATGATCATAATGGTCCCTTCTGACCTAAATATCTATGGAAAAAAAAACCCCTCTGTCTCCCAGCTCTTTCTCAGATCTGTCTCCCTATCCTCTCATAGGTTCTTAGTCCCAATTTCCTTGTCTCCCCAGTCTGAGTCCTTTTTTCTCAGATTGTCGTCCAATTTCAGTGTCTCCCTTCCCAGCCAACTGGTTCCCAGTCCCTCCACTCATTTTAATCACTGGTTCTCAGTCTCCTTCCCAAGTTCCAGCCTCGCCTCCTCCATTGGCTCCCAGTTCCGGTCACCTTGTCCAATCCATCCCAAGCTTCCCCCACTCTGATTCCCAGGTCCAGTCTCCTTACCCATCTGGTCTCAGTCTCCACCTTCCCTAGCTCCCACTCAGAGATTTTTTTCATTCAGTTGCAGTCATTTGTGGATTCATCCACCCATGCGGGTACTGTAGCTAACAGCTTTTGTCTGTATTTATCCTGGTTGCTCACCAAGGTTTTTGAACAGCCCTGTTGGCAGCCACATCAAAATATCCCTTGAAAAGGGTGCTTGTGAGATTGGTCACCCTCATGTCAGTGGGAATTCTTATCTTTCAATCTTCATGTGTTTGTGATACTCCTTTTGGTGGAACTTGCCGCCACTGCATTGCACTGGCAGTGTGTTAATGCAATTTAGCACCCAGGATTTATATTTGTATGTGTTTGTATAGCACCCAGTACAGCAGAGCTCTTATACTGGTGGGTCCTCCAGTCACTGCTGCAATATGAATATGAAATAATTGAAAAGTTTGCCTAGTTCCTTTCCTGTGCCTCTTTTTGGTAACCATCTTGCATTCTCTCTACAAGCCTGGTTTTGTGTATTGAGCATTCGGGTGGTGATAGCACCTAGACTAGGGCGCTGCTGTAAGTTTCGTAACACAGCAGAGCATTGTGAGTGCTGGCCAGCGCTCAAATGACTCACTGTGGAATTACCAGCTCCTGACACCCGACTATATCCCTAAATCTACACCAGGACATGGAAAGTTGCCACTAATTCCTGCAACTTCTTAACCCTGCTGAGAGTACCAGGAAATGAATTGCCTTTGGATAGCAATAAGATTTACACATCAGCTTTTCTGTTTATATCTATCTGTGGTCAATTTGACTATTTGGCTTGCTTGACTTTTCTCCATTATCTCTGGCCTTTTGTTAAGTGAATGTTTATAATGTCTAGAGGATGCAAACTGTAAATCAAATGTAAATGTCCAAGCATCCAAGCTTTTAGGCATGATAGTGCCAAGTTTTAGGAGCTACCATGCCAATCCTGCCTCTTCAAAAATGTTCTCTTGGCATGTTTCTCTCAATTTTTGATCTCTCTAGTTATTCTGTGGCCAAAAGGGCTAATGTGATTTTTGGATGCATAAACAGCATAAATCTTGAGTTAGAAGTACAGAGGCTATTTTACCTGTGTATTTGGTACAGGTGCAACCGCTGCTGGAATATTGTGTCCAGTTCTGGTATGCACAATTAAAGAAGGAAGTTGATAAACTGGAGAGGATTCAAAAGAGCCATGAGAATGATTAAAGGATTAGGAAACATGCCTTATAGTGAGAGACTAAAGGAGCCCAGTCCATTTAGATTAACAAAGAGAGGGCTAAGGGGTGACTTGATTACAGTCTATAAGTACCTACATAGGGAATAAATATTTAACAATGGGCTTTTCAGTCTAGCAGAGAAAGGTATAACATGATCCAATGGCTGCAGATTGAAGCTAGACAAATTCAGACTGAAATAAGGTGTAAATTTTTCACAGTCAGAGTATTTAACCATTGGAATAAATTACCAAGAGTGATGGTTGATTCTCCATTACTGGAAATTTTAAAATCAAGAGTGGATGATTTTCTAAAAGATATGCTCTAGAATTATTTTGGGGAAGTTCTATGGCCTGTGTTATACAGGAAGTCTGACTAGATGATCACAGTTTGTCCCTTCTAGCTGTGGAATCTGTGAATCTCCAACTTCTCCCCTTCCCCTATTGCTTTTACGTTGTTGTTGATAGCTGATTGTAGTTGATACGACACTCAAACGACATGATTTGAATGGGATAACCACTTCTTGCTCATCATACAAAGGAAATACTGCCCCAAGTGTCCAATTTAGAACTGCAGCAACATGGCAGAATGATAGGAATAATTTACAAATGTAAAAGCACGGAACCCTCAAAAGCAGAATTGAGAGAGAGGGAAAGATCAGGAGGAATATATTTAGAAAGATCTGCCTCATGCCCCAGCCACTGCTGTTTTAACTTAATACTCATAGCTGCCAACATGTGAAACCTCTAAATATGTAAATATGTGGATGGGAGTGGGAAGAATAGGGATGCACTTTTATGCCCTATTGATAGAGCAATATATTGAAATAGAAATTTAAATTCTAAATTTTAAAGAAACAGCAAGAGCAGTTTAAATATTTCCCATATATATTATATAAAAGAAAAAAGAACACCTGCAGCAACAACAACAAAAAACAGTTGGCATGTATGGGCACCCCCAGATTATAATAATCTGAGAAACAAATCATGCATACTAGAAATAAATTGTAGTTACAGTCATTGGCTTTATGCTTTAGTATTGTTTTTAAATTCAAATACTTACTGCCCTCGTGTGGAAAAAAACTGTATTTTATCAATCTAGAGAAGCCAGATGGAGAAATCTTATCATCCATCCATCTTTCTGCGTGGGCAGAACATTCAGTTATTCCCCAGATAGAGGATGGATCAGATACTAAACTGATACTACATGTCATAATAGCCATGGAATTAATCAGATTGTAATAGCTCCATGAGAGCAGTTTCTTGATAAGCGTATTTTATACATTAACAATGTTGTCTCAGGCTCTGAGGACATGGCTGGTGACGGCACTGTCTGTACTTTGTTTTCTGGAATGTTGTGGATACTCCTGTGTTTCAAACACCCCTCCCTTAAAAATATGCATTAGGAAGATCACCTCTCCTCTGAAAAGGGTTGGATGCAGCTCCCTTCCTTCTGAGTTTAGTAGCATGTATCCTAAACTAGGCAGACAGGTCCATTCAGAAGCACGTGCAGCGTTTCCAGAGCCCGATGGCTCAGGAGGTGAAACCCCTGAGCAGGGAACTGAGCACGATGTGTCTTGCATGGGAGTGTGCAGCAGTAACTACAGGACTAGAGACAGTCGGATGGTCAACAATAAAATCCTGATTCATGAATAAAAGTATCAGATTAGGTTTGATGCTTTGTGGGGCCATTATTCACCGGTATAGGCTCAGCAGCTGCTTATTCGTAAATATTAGCACCAGCAATATTATTGTGAGTATTAGCACCAAGAATGATTTGTCCAGAAATA